CTGCCGGGAAGGGGCGTGTCCTGTTGCCGTGGAAACGGGGGCGCGCGGCCTGCGCGGGCTTTTCCGCGCTCGCTCCGTCAACGGCCACACCAGTCGCTAAGGCATTTCTATCATCTTTAGAAATTAAACGTGTAAAAAAGCGCTTACTCTGTATGATTTTTATCGCTGGCTGCAATCCCTGTGAGTTACCCCAGCACAAAAGCATAATTATTTTTGATATACAGAGCTGGTGCAGGGTCTGGAGCACAGGTCTGCTGGGGAGCGGCTGAGGGAACTGGGGGGGTTTAGTCTGGAGAAGAGGAGGCTGAGGGGAGACCTCCTGGCCCTCTGCAACTCCCTGACAGGAGGGTGCAGAGAGGGGGGATGAGTCTCTGGAGCCAAGGACCCAGCGCCAGGCCCAGAGGGAATGGCCTCAAGCTCCCCAGGGCAGGGTCAGGCTGGCTCTGAGGAAGGATTTCTTTGCAGAAGGGGCTGTTGGGCGTTGGAATGGGCTGCCCAGGGCAGGGGGGGAGTCCCCGGGATCCCTGGAGGGGTTGAAGAGTCGGGCTGACCCAGCGCTGAGGTATCTGGTGGAGTTGGGAACGGTCGGGGGGAGGTTCATGGTTGGGCTGGAGGAGCTTCAAGGGCTTTTCCAACCGAGATGATTCTGTGAAATGGCCTGAAATAAACCCACCTACAGCGGTTTTGGTGGGGGCTGCCCAGAGAACCTCTCCCCTGCTCTCCTGGCTGCTCTCGGCGTTCCTGCCCCTTTAGTCATTCCTTCCCCTGCTGAGGCTTTAATCCCCTGGAAACCGCAGGCAGGGTACGTACCCATTCCCCTCCAGCAATTTTTTGGCTAGTGCTCTGGAAAACGTTGCTGCTCCAACGGTTCCTGTTTTCCACTCTGTTTTAATGCTCTGTTACTAATGTTTCTGTAGGACCCATCAGGTGCCCCCCATCCTCTTTTAACACTCTTGGAAAAACAATAACTCTGTTCTGGAATAAATTATATTGTTTGACAGTGGGAATTTCTACTAAGTGGCACTGCACAGAAATAAAAGCCCTGTGTTAACAGCATGGAGGTGAAGCTGCTGTTCCTTGCCTCTTTAATGTTCATTGGTGCTATGGGAGGACTCTGAAGGACTCGGGTAGCCCCAGGTTTAGCTGCAGCTCCTTACGCTGGAATTCATCCCACAGTTGAAGAAATGTCCCTGAGTTATGCCTGTCATTTGTGATTGCTTTTCTCCAGTTGCTGCAATTCGGTTTAAGGCCATTCTACCCCTTGCTGCTGCCAACACCAGCACGTGTGCAGCTCCGCAGGGAGGGGTATTGCCTGGCCCAAAATGAACCCTGCAAAAAGGAGCTGCCAGTGTTCATCCGGACAAGCAGTGCTGGTGCAAACCCACCAAACCTAAAAGCCTGAGAGAAGGGGCTTATTTTTCGGGAGCTACAAATGCAATGGCAGCAGACAGCATTTTCAGCCAGCTGAGCCTTGGGCAGGACTCAGCCTTCCTTGAGTGCCCTAGCAGAGATAACCTTATCACGTATCCCCGTGCGTGGGGGGATGGATCTGCTGCTGATGGCAGCAAGCAATGCGCCACGTTCACCCCCAAATTCAGCGCTGGCCCCGCTCGGAGGCGATGCTTGTCAAACAGCTGCGCAGGCAGAGTAGGTGGGGAAATAAAACCAGGCAGCAGATGTGATTCTGGCTGCTGGCATGTGCTACACATAAAAAAATAGGAAACTAGTCTTCCTTTAAATCAGGGCTGAAGAAGCAGAGACCTGGTACCCATTGGATTTTTTCTTTTCCTTGTGAGTGGGAATGTGCCAAGAACAGGAGCTACACTTTTCAGAGGTCTGGGAGAAGGCAAGGTCACGTATCTGGAAGCGCAGCTGGGCTGAGACTCCAGGGTCCAACGAGCACCGTGGACCTGCAGCCAGATCCACCTTTGGCTCTTCTTTACCCAGTGCCACATCCCTGCTGCATGCACCAAGATGTGGGGACGGGCGGTGGCCATCCCGCAAGCCCTTTGCCATCTCTCAGTGCGTGTCTGTGCTGCTTCCTAACCAGCACACATGTTGTATCAGACCCCACAGAGCATATTTGAAAGTGTGGCAATGGAAAGAAAAGTGAAAATGGAAAAGAACCAGGAAACCATTTCAAGCCTTTTCTTGATTTTCAACTTCCTACAGCTTTTGTTCACTTTTCTCTGGGATTTCTTTTCTTTTCTTTTCTTTTCTTTACTGGCAGAGTTACTCTGCCAGTAAAGTAATAGTTAAAAGTTTCAGAGGCAGAAACTGCAGCTCTGCCAGATTAGTGCATTAATTTGTCTCAGGGGATGTTTTGAGGAAAGCCATAGTGTGGTCGAGACCTGCAAAGCTGAGAATCTGGGGGAGGTTTGTGCCAGCACTCACTGAATGTGTGTCTGTCTTAACTAAAAGTAGGGGACCTGAAACCTGCTTGGAGGGACAGCGTGATTCCCAGAGCTTACTGTGAGATTAATTTGGGAGACATTGGGCGATTATTCCCCATCCTCCACATCCTTCACTCAACACTGTTTGGATGAAGTTACAGTGACTTTAAAACCCACTAGCACAGCAGGGCCTGTCTGTGGTGGGATCAAATCCTCCTGCCTTTGCTTATGAGAGCAATATTGCACTTGGCTGATACTCTCCCGTAGGATTAATACTCCGGGACTGAGTAATGTCATCTCCCTTGCTGGCATCTGCATTTGGAGCAGAGGTTGCATCTGACCTGCTATGCTTCAAGCACCAAGCATGGCATTGCATGGGGTTGTCTGCTGTGTTTAAAGCTCCTAGGCTGTCACAGATCCTCTCCTTCCTGCTCTCTGGAGCGGCAGTCTCAGCTCAGCAACTGAACAAAAAGGAAAGCATGATAAAAGGAGTCTGTGTCCTCGGTTCTCTTCTCTGTGTCTATGCTTTGAAGGCATAGTTTAGGAGCATCAAAATGTCCTGGTGCTGAGCCAGATTGGCAGAGGCAGGGGGAGTTTTGAAGAGCAAGTTCTCTGTGATGCTCAGTTGTCTTCTGCGAGAGTCTCTGGCATAAAATATCTAAAGTTATACTGGGAAAACAGCTCTCCCGTATGGAATTCATCTACCCCAATCTGGACATTCACACTCGAGTGGGCTGGGCTCCTTTGATAGTGACAAAAAGATGCTTTCAGGATACTTCATTTCACCCTGAAGCCTCTGTGTAAACTGCATCATTATCAGCTGCACCCAAGAAGTGCCTGTTCTCCCCATGGACTGCGGGAGAGTGGTCCTGAGGGGACCAGCTCCGTGCAAGCATCTAACGGTAGTAGAGATCAGTCTGTCCTCTGTCCCTTAGACTCTCCACGTCACGGTGAGACCACGAAATCTACAGCTCCCTCTTATTCATGATACGGCACCCACACCGGCTTGATGAATCGTCCCCCTCCAGCTTTGTTTGCGGTGTTTGTGGCAGGAGAGCCGGCAGCACAGTGTGGCAGGGTGACAAGATGCAACATTTCTGGCTAAGCCCTATGCTGAAGAGGACATCCTCCGAAATCCCTCCTTGGTGGAACATCCAAGCAGGTGTGTCAGGGCAACTCAGAAACCCTTCTCACAGCTAAGAAAATGGTGAAAAAGGACAGAGATTCCTTCTGTTCCTCACCAGTCCCTGGGCAGTTGCATAAGCTGCCAGCAGCCTCTTGCTCCATCAGCTTTCCACTCTCTGCGCTCCCACTGCCCAAAACCCTGCCGTGTCTGGGGCTTGCTGGCTGCCGCAGCAGCACAACAGCCCCTGGCTCTCACCCACAAGGGCTCATCCTCGGCATTTATTAATCTATAACTCAGCTGCACTAGCATAGTGCAGGGCTAACTGCCATCTCTCTGCAGCCAGCCCTGTGGGTTAATGCTGGTATAATAAACTAATTTTCCCCATCTTTTTCTCAGGGTGCTAAGCACAAACTCATCCACAAACCCATGTGAGCTGCAATTATTCAACCCTAACCCTGCTTATTAAATATTCCCCAAGCTGCACTCCAGGAGGTCAGGCACAGGCAGCCAGCAGCTGGGACACAGGGCTGTGGTAAACCATAGCAGCATTTCTGGCACGGGGACAATATCCCACAGTCTCCGAGAGGAAAACACAGATTATGGCTGGGCTGAGCAACGGCCAGTCAAGATAGGGGGAAATTGTAAGGACAACAGGCTGGACACAGAAGTAAGGCGGAGTGGCAGCTGAGTTTGCAAGGAGTGAGTCTGTGCACCAAAGGGGCTGTTCTGTACTAGCAGGGCTGAAAAAGAAGGTAAAGCTGTTATTAGCGTTTCCCTGGGGGGAGTGATTAAGAGCCAGTGAGATGCTGTTGACAGAAATACTGTCTGCAGCGTGGAGCAGCTAATAAAAAAGATGGGTCTTGTCTTGTGATTCCAGACAGAATGTGATGCTGGAGAGTCGCTGATATTTTCAGCCTGGCTTTCTAAATACGTTTTTTTGCAATTGCTCTGTGTGTTTCCAAAATACTGGCAGATGGAGGCTGCTTTTGCCATTCCTCCTTCTACTGAGCATTAGGGGCCCCATCACCCTCTGGCTCTGCCCCCTGTGGAGACTGTCCCCACCACATTCTGCAACAACAGCAATTTGGAGGTGACCTGGGGACAGGAGAGGAGTCTGCTCCTCACTGATGCAAGTCCCCTGAGAGCCTCAGGGCAGGACATGGCTGCCCATGGGTTGAGACACAGACCTTGAGTGATCCTGGCAGTCATTAATGAAGGTTCCTAGCGAGGAAGACTTGCTACAGTGTTCGTTTCTGCATGACTGTGGCCAGCACCCACACCAAGCTAAGGTCAGCCACCCACAGGCTTATGTCTAAGTCTGGTACCAACCCAGCAGTCAACAGTAAGGATAAGTTCACCTTATTCCTCAGACCTTGCTGGTTTGAAGAACATCTTGTTATTTAGCAAACTTTTCCTTTTGGGCATTTTTTGTAGCACTGCGAAGGATGTGACCTACGAGGCTAAAATGCTTCTGACTATTGAACCTCCTTGTGGACTTGTTGAAGGATCCTGTTTTTCTCTGTCTCTTGGTGGGAGCTGGTCCTCCTCATGCCAGAGAAGTTGTAAAGATATCACAACTGACAGAGAAACAGAAAAAACACATGTTTCTGTCTAAAATTTGTTTCCTGAAGACTCCTCAAACAAGGCTTGTGAGTGAATGTGCTTGTTACTTAATGGGAGGAGCAAAGACTGAGGTTGTTTGGAAAGGCAGGCTTTCTCACAAGTCCTTTCCCATCAGCTTTGCTCAGCTTGAATCATCAGTTTCTCCCAGATTCTGCAAAGTTTTCTTGCTTTTGAAAGTACAGGTTTTCCTAAACTGTTTCAGCTCTATGCCTGAAGGAATTACAGTCAGTGATTCATCAGAGAGACAACATCCCAAACAACTAGAAGGTCAACTACTTCTTAAGGCAAAAGTATTTTGTAGTGATTTGTAGCCATATCTGGGAAAATAGAGCGCTTACATGGCTAAAACAGGCAAATAATAGATCGAGAAGAATTTCTTGTCATCAACACTCAGTGCCCTTCTCATGGAAACATCGCACGCTTTACATACTGTAACAAAATGTAAGTTTTATTCCATTTTGTTAGTAATGAATGTGGAATAGCCAGTTGAAGAGTTGGACTGATGTATCTTTCTCTTTAGACTAGTGTTTCATATTCTAACTACAGATGTAACATTTACACTGAAAAATACTTACAGATTCAACCTCATGCTCAAAAAATTTCTAGTACAAATACAGTTAGTACATAAAAAAATGAACAACAAAAAAATAATCCCAAAAACTTCAAAACAGCACAGACTGGTTATGGCCTTGAGTTAAGTTCAAGTATTTCCCAGTGGAATGCAATGCAAGCAACACGGTAATTGGCTTTTACATGGGACATTCCTGGCCCTGAATGTTAAGAATAGAAATATAAGTGTGGGCACTTTATCTGACCAAGTTTAGCAAGAGAGTCAACATTTACAATTAGTTCAGCTACAAAGCTAAACCCGTCTTGTGTGTGAACATAACTACTTAACTGTAAAAAAAAAAAAAAAAAAGCAAAGCTTTAATTTTACTACTGGCATTTCTTCTGTGGCTGATGCTGCCTGTTGTCTTATTGAAATAGCTTGAGGCTTAGTTTGTAATGGTTCTGGTGGGTTTTTTGCTTGTGGTTATGCTTATTTTGTCTCTCTATCCTTTTCCTTCCCAAACTGACATGATAAAGAGGGGATTTTTGCTCCCGCCCCGAAAGGAGTTGCTCCTGCAGAGACATTAATGCATGTTGGTCACCTTTGTGGCAGCGACTCGGTGAAAAGACTGAATATCCTAAAGGCTTTAGAGGCCAAGGAGTGGAGGGGGAAGGGGGGAAGTGAGCAACTCTGTATATGTATTAATAATAATAGTATCAATAATAATAATAATAATAATAATAATAATAATAATAATAATAATAATAAAAAAACAACCCCAGGTTTTATATTTCCAGGGCTGACTCGTGCTGCCTCCTGTGTGCGGCTCAGTTAGGATCTGGGAGAAGTGGGCTCCCTCCTCCCCAGGGTCAAAGGAGTCACTGGTGTCCTCCAGCCTGGCTGGGACCTTGCAGGCAACTTTGCATCTCTCCCAGGCGGCCCGTGACACTGGAGCAGTCCTGCCAGCAACAAGGCCACCCTTGTGCTTCTGTCCCTATCAAAACGCTCAGAAAATATGGGAAAGAAAGATCAGCTCTCACTTGCAAAGCATTTTATGCAAGGAAGTATTTCAAGCCTGATAGTTGAGCAGGGATGGCTTGAAGAGAGGGGTTACCCCACCTCCCCACCCAACAAGGAGGTTGTATTGATGACCCAAGAGTCTGCCCTGGCTCTAGTACTCATCAATATTGCAATTATTGACTCTCACTATGGAAAGCAGAGTGTGCGTATTAAAAGTGATGGTGACACCAGCTGGGAGGAGGCTGCAAATCTTCTGCAGGACTGACAGATCATTCAAAACCCCTTCGGTGCACTGGGTCTGCGGTGTGAAAATGAAAAGGCAGTTTGAAGAAGGGCAGGAAGATCCTGACTCTACAAGCACAGAGGGGAGCAATCCCCATGCTTGCAGAAGATGGGGTTTTGAGGAGGACCAGGGTGGCAGATGGGTGCATGAAGAGGAGCAGAGTGGTAAGATGGCCTGAGGACCAGCACTGTCACACCGCTGGAAAGATGTGGACTGGCTGATGGTGGTTCAGACACCAAGGAAAACCATGCTAGAAAAGCAGTCCTTGGAGAAAGGATGATGAGACTGGAGTTATTTAGCTTAAATCAGGCTCGAGGAGGATGAAAACAGTCTTCAAACACCCAAAAGCTTCTTCAGCCATTTAAAGGTATAAGATGTTCTTCATGGCTGCTGAGGAGAGGAGATGACAGGGGTTTCAGCAAGGGGGTTTCGTGTTAGCCATTAAGGAAGCATTTGATGGTGTCAGGTTGGGGAGAAGATCCATGATCCTTTCTAGCCCTGTTGCTCTAAGTGTCTCCGAACCTGCAGTCATGGAGCCCAGGGATCTTCTCTTGTTGGCACTGATCACCTATATTGTTGGGAGGGGGGGTATAGCCCTGCTGTATAAAATGGATCTAACCCTGTGCTCAGGTTCTAGGGTTTCTGTCTTAAAATCTGCCCTCCTGCTTCTTTCCCCATGGTGAGGACAGGATGGTTTCCTGAAGCAAGAGCAAGGGAGGCACATGCCCGTCCCTGCGTTTGGTGACTCACGGTGAATCTGCAGGTCAACAGAAGTTGAGGGGCCAATCTGAGTCATCAGGATGTGCTCAAGCCATGTCTGGGGCTGAGGAAGATGCCGCTGGCATGGGCAGGAGAAATCCAAAATCCAGATTCCTGCACAGCACAGCGCCTTTGATTTGCGTGGGAAGGACGAGTTTATCCAGGGCTGTAATACTGCTGCTCATCTCAAAGGAATCAGAAAAACCCAGCAATATCCAGCCATCGCTCTCCTCAGAATTTCCATCCTTCCCTTGGGATCGTGACTTTAAATGCACACTGTATCCCATGGGGCACAGGGCTGGCGATAAACAAAAAGTTGCATCGATGTGGAGGACAAGCTTGTGCCCTGGACAGCTGTAATTACTAGGGAGCAAATTTCCACACTGCTGTCCTCCCCAGCAGCTCTGCGTGCGTTTACCTTTGTGGTAGCAGCGCTGCCAGCAATCAGCCCCTCCTGTGTTGCCTGGTGCAGCCCAGCCTGGGAGGAGAGCACATTCCTGCCCGTGGGACAAGGGGCAATGGTGCAGCTGGATATGTTTGTCTCCTCGCCACCGTGGTGTGAACTTTCTGAGGCTTTCATTCAAAATTCACAGCGGAAAGGCCATCCCTCCACACAACAGATGTGTGTTACTCCTCACCATGGGTGGTGGTGGGATGGATTGATGCTCCTCCTGGATGCCATTGTCCTTTGTCAAGGGGAAGATCTGTAGCGGTGAGAGCAGGCAGCACTCCAGGCATTTTGCCAATGCCTTCAGCAGGACCAGGAACAAGCCCAACAGTGTTCTCCAAACTGTTATGCAAAGCCATACTGAATATTTACACCTGAATACCTCGTAGGATGTTTCTTTGCTTTCTTTTTAAACTGCCGCCAACACTGTTCTCTAATGGCATGGCACAGCTCAGTCGAGGTTCCCAGGGGCTGAAGGCCATACTCAAGTTCTCTGCCTGTTCCCAAGACTCACCAAAGGGCCCAGCCCCCTGGGGACATGAGAAAGATGCCCAGCAAGAAGTCACATAGGTCCCATGGATAACAAATACTGACACAGGGACCTGCATGTGACTTTGAGTGGCTGGCATGGCCCTGAGTGAACAGCTCAGCGCAGAGATGGTGCTGTTTTCAGTGAGGATTTTACTTTTTTCATCTTAGGTTTGATCTTGAAGGCTCTGCCTATTTGGGTCCTTCGTGGTGGTGAATCAACTAATGGACTCTTGGGAAGTTGTGAGAGCATCTGCCAAAGCACAGGCATCTTAGGAACATCTCGGGGATGAGACCTGTTCTGAGACATGTCAGAGTGGGGCAGTGACTGGTTTCAGCCTCTACTGTTCATCAGGAGATGCTCCCTGTGCTCCCAGTAATAAGGATTTCGTTCTGTTTTGTGTTACTGGAGGGGTACAAAGCCACAGCCCCGCAGCTGTATGAGAGACACAGGGTGTAACCACCCTGACAAAGCACATCCTCAGCACTAGCAGGAGCTTTGGAACTAAGCAGCTTGGTTTTAACATGTCCCCAGATTCCTCTAGCTGTCTGAAAATCACCCTAAAACAAAGCTGAGCTCAAAAAGCTCCCCATAAAATAGTGAAAAACTTCCTGCTACTGTTCTGGTCCTGTCCCCACTGAAACCAGATCTGCTAAGCCCCCCGAGCAAGTGTGTGACACCTGCCAGTTCCCCAGGTGAGGCTGGAGGCTGGAAGCCCAAAGACTGCTCCAGGATGAGGTCAGCTGTAGTTGCCGGGTTTCCCCAGGGGAGGTGGAAAGCTGTAAAATTACCAGAGGATCGATATTACATTTATATATATCTCTCTATATTCATACACACATGTTCATATGTGTCTATATATACGTACATGTACACACACACATCATATACACACTAGGCATAGATGTGCCGTCTGCTGCTATTTATAAGGGTTTGATGAAACAGAAGAACAAATTTTCCAACACCGATCTTCCAAACTCTACTAATATTCAACAAATAAAGAAGTTGAAACCCTTTATGATTTTGTTTTCCTGGTTGCATAAAGGCACTTTCTGATGACACGAAGCAGCAGTTTGTTAAAAACACTGTAACTGCACTGATTCCCATCCCATCTGTAGCAAGTGCTACACAGGCACTGGTACAACACAATGTCACTCCTCGTTCCTGCTGCCTAGCATTTGATCATATTTGCTTTTTGTTTTGAAGCAGAGGAAGAAAAGACAAAAATCTTCAGCGCTGTGCTATGCTTTTAGATCTCCCCATGTAAGACAGCTGCTGTGTTTCTGCCCTGTAACCTGATGTGGGTGCCAGCTCGGGGCTTGCAGCATCAAACGATGCTTTCATTTCCAGGCATTCCTGCTAGAGCATCTAATGATTCAGGCAGGACATCACCTGTAAGCATGTCATGAAGGTTCATGCAATATGTCAGTTTTCTTACCAAGGGATCAGAAATTAATTTTGATTAAGCATACTTAGTAATTAAGCACTGCCTGACCTACAGCACTCTAGCCTTGCCATGCAGGAGGGGAGCTGCTTGCTGTCAGCCTGACTTCTCTCCTAAGCCACCAGCAGCTCTGCTTCCCATCGCAGCATGTTGTCCAGTCTCTGTTGGGGGCTCTTGTGGTGACTGAAGGGGTGGGAGATGCGGGGGGTTTGCTGTTGCTCACTGGAGGTTCCCAACTGGAGAATGTATTGGAAACAGGAAAGCAATGTCTTTTGTTAATGGACTGGAAGACAGCACTAAATTGATCTGAAACTCATTTTCTCTCCTGACTTCCACATAAAAATTGCGCCTGTGCCCTGTGAAATGAATGCAAGATAACACTGAAAACCAGAAACAGACCAAAATAAAAACCCCACTTATGCTGCCCTCTTTCCTTTTAGGCGAAGTTATATCCATACAGACGTCTTTCCATCTTTACTGCTTGAGCTCCCTTTCTCCAAGCAGGCCTTGGGTTTAGCACCTTGTTTCTCCTGGGCAGTGTTGGCCCTGTTCTGCTCTACCACTGTGCCTCCTGAGGCGGGACTGCTGGTTCGGGAGGGTTGTGTGTTGCCCTGGGTGCTGCTGTAGCTCTGAAATGCTATGTCTAACTGCTCCTGGGCCACTCGCAAGTGTTTGTGAAGGGTGGACAAATCTGTTGGGAGGTTCTCGTCTGGGCTGGTGCACTGCTGCTCCTGAGCAACGTTAGCCAAGTTCTGCTCGTGAGCCATCAGACTGTTGGGGATCTTGGTGGACTTCTCTGATTTCACTACCAGGTTGTACTCAGGAGGGCAGGAGATGTTCTTTGGGTAGGCGTAGTTGTAAGGGGGCTGCCTAAAGCTGTTGATTTTCCGGTTGCGAATAGCATCTCGGATGGTCCCAAACCCCAGGTGAAACATCTCACACATGTTCAGCAATAAGCATAGGCAGCTCACGACGTACATCACCAGGAGGAAGATGGTCTTCTCTGTTGGCCGGGACACAAAGCAGTCCACAGTGTGAGGGCAAGGGACTCTGTTGCAGACATAATAAGCTTCTACCTCAAAACCGTAGAGTAAATACTGCCCTATCAAAAAGCAAACTTCAAACGAAGCTCTGGTAAGTAGCTGGAAGACATAGATTTTCATCAGTCCTTCTTGCTGGATGCGCCTCCTCCCATCATGCTTTTGTTGCTCTTTGCTCTTGGGCTTGGCTTTGGCTTTCTCACGTTCTGCTGCGTCATCAGAGATCATGGGCTCCTCTTCGTCGGCCTCCATCGGGTCCTCCATGTTGCGCACTGCCTGCCAGTTCAAAGCAAACTGCTTCTTCTTCTTGAATCCCTTGAACTTCTTCTCCTCCTCCGCTGACCGAGCAATCCTGTGGATGGCATAGCCCAGGTACATGACCGAAGGGGTGGATATCATGATGATCTGGAACACCCAGAACCTGACATGTGACAGCGGTGCGAAGGCATCGTAACAGACGTTGTCGCAGCCGGGCTGCTTGGTGTTGCAGGTGAACTTGCTCTGCTCATCGGAGTAGATGGACTCTCCCCCAACTGCTGTCAAGACAATGCGGAAGACGATGAGCACGGTGAGCCAGACCTTGCCCACAAAGGTGGAGTGATTGTGAATCTCTTCTAGCAGGCGGGTTAGAAAGCTCCAGCTCATGTTGGTCATAAGGGCTACTCAGTTAGAACCTGCAGAAAGAGGAGGAAATAAAACCCAGAGTTGTAAGTTAATATCTGTGGCTGCAGTCAGTGATACAGCTGTGAGATTAGCACGTCTGTGACAGATGAAGTCCTTTTATCTCTAAGAGGCACCCTTCACTGCTGCAGCCCATCACCCCAGGGAGAGGGACCACCATGACATGTGACTAAAAGCAAATGCAAGGCACCACGGAAGCCACCTAGGCACAAAAAGGTGCTTAACTTGTGATAATCTCTCGCCATGGGTTCTGAAAGCAGGAGCAGAGGATGCTGCCCACATTACAGAGACTTGTGCTGCTGAAATATCTTTTATTAGCAAGCCCAGAAAAATGCAAAGAATCAGCAGAAGAATGGGAATATTTATGTTTACAGGCTGATGGCCCTTTTAAGTTCCTTTTGAAAAAACATAACAAAACAAAACAAATGTTTAATCAAATGCAGACTCTTTTAAAAATAAACCTTGAAGAGCCTCCAGAGCAAATCATGCATTTATTAGAAGACCTGGACAGCTGGGGAGGAAGAGCTTGTAATAACCATTTTGTGTTTAGCTTAACTTGCAGTGGGGCCTTAGCCCAAGCTCCATGGGCGACCCCAGGCACCATTAAAGGCTGGCAGCAATTTTACTGCTTGACTGGCAGCAACCCTGACAGATACCTGGAGATGAAACCAATAGGGAAAGCACTTAGGCCCAAAGAGCACTGTGGCAGGGGACAGCAAGGCTCTCGCTCCAGGGAAGAAGAGGATGGAGTCATCCTTTCTGCCCCCCTGCATTCCTCCTCTGATTCATCCTCATGCTCATCATGGAGATTACCCGCTTCGTTTGCACGCAGACATCTGATGGCAGGCAGTAAATTAGGTGTCTGCAAGCCCAATCCCACCCATAAACTGATGCCTATGATTGCACCCAGAAGCAAAGCGTGGATGTGTTGGTGGCAGACGTAGGAGCCAAGCACATGAGCATGGATACAAGTGAGTTAGTGTGGAGTAGCACATGGCAGCAGTGAGTTATGGCTCAGCAGTAGCTGCCCCAGCACAGGCTACTCCCCTGTGATCCTCCACAGCCAAGAGAGGGGGAGAAAGGAGCTGTTGCTCATACTCTGAAAAAGTATGGACATCAAACCTACCCCTCTGTGCTGGCTCAGCACGGCTGAGTGGAGGCAGAATGCCATGGGACATAAGCCTAGTCCTAAACTGGCTTTGCACCACTTTTATATGGAGACACAGAATTAGGCCCTAAGGTTTCCATGGCACAAGCCAGGCTTTAAGCCCATCACCCATGCCAGGCGCAGGATGGGAGCATTCAGCAGCCACAGCCCCACGCAAGAACAAGAAGGGAAATGTGCCTTGCTCCGTTCTCTATGTCGAGCCTTTCTGGAATGTGATTTTGCTCACATTGCCTCTTAGGACAGGAGCCAAACAGCACTAGTTTGCTCAGCCCTTGTCTTCACGCTGCCCTGGGAGGTAGCAGCGTGCTCTGAGGCTCAAGGCGCAGTGAAATTCTTCCGCTGTTGAGGGCTCTCAAGAGCAAGCAGATGGAATTTTCTAACCCTGCTATTTCCAGATCAAACAAACCCTCTGCGAACCCAAACCCCCAAGTCTTCACACACCAGACCGAGGCTGTGGGAGCACTCTGCAGATGGTGTTATTCTTGTCCTGTAGCTGGAGAAACTGAGGCAGGAAGTAGAGAAGCAGCTCATTCCAGGCTGGGTAATAAGACAGAAGAAGAGGTGGGAAGTCCTTCTCCGTGCCCTCAATTTAGCTGGTGAAGAACCCAGCCCTCAAAGCTGCTGGGACCGGAGTCCCCATCTCCTGCTCCAAAAGTGATGCCTTGGACCCAACAGAAATGCTGCTGCAGATAGGACAATTCAGCCACTGCAGAACAATGTGGAAAGCAATCCCCACAGAGCTATTCTTTATTTATTGAGATATTTGGGTTTATTCAGGTGCGAGATCAGAAAGCATTCCCTCTGAGTGCCTTTTTGCCTTTTTAGACCCCGTGACTTTTACACTTTAAAGTGTCTTTAACCTTTACTTTACTTGATTTTACAGACCCAGACTTTTACACTTTAAAGTGTCTTTAACCCTTCCCCTGATTTGTGTCCCCATTCAGCTATGGGCAAAATGTTGTGTTAATGGTTTGCAGGATTAATCTGGGCTCTCAGCCAGGCTCCAGCTGACGGGGGGGCTGGGAAGGGAAGACCCTGCTGGGCGCAGCGATGTCCCACTGCAGGACATGGGGCACCCGCCTCTGGAGCACGTGGGGCTGGATCACACCAGCCCCAGCTTGGCTAGCCCCATGCGGGTGTCCAGCCACCCACCAGCTCCTCTCTGCACCCCCGATTCACTCCAAGCCTCAACTTTTTCTAAAACACAGGTTTCAAACCATGGAGCAGTTCATTTATCATTTCAGTGCTCACCTAAAGGGTTTATGAGCTCTACACCGAAGATAATTTATCATTTTGCAAGTGTTACTCAAGGACACGATTCCCAAAGCTCAGACTTGCCTCCCAACATCCATTTGCTGGGGCAGGGAGCGTCTGACCAAGGTAATGATGGCTTTTGGAGTAAATATTCAAGTTTTGATCCGATATTGTTCAGGGTTATTAGCAAAACACCCACCGTCTCCTCTGGGAGACATATTTTAGAAGGGAGCACCTGGTAGCATTGGTTCGAAACACTTGACAAACTTGAGTCAAGGAAAAGGAAAGAAATTGCAATACCAGAAGCGGTGGGGGTTGTTGCTTTGCGAAGACCACCTCTGGTTACCAGCCACCAACCTGAGCTGTTGGCCCTGCCACTGACACTGTGGCTCAGCCCTCTGTGCACATCTGGATCGTCAGGAACATCTGTGGGAAACACCCTGAGCTGTTTCTGCACCCCCGGGACCCCGCTGTTGCCTCTGTCTCTGATCACACCTTGACATCACACTCCCATGTGTCCACCCACTCTCCTGGCACTGTATTTGAAAGCAGGAGCTGAAGGAAACGAGTTAAAAAACCCTCCTACGATCGGTCCAGTTAAACTTACAGTGCTTTTTGTGACTCATTGACTAGAAAGACTATACTATGAGATTTCAATGCTTCTAATTACTTGGAGGGGGTTAGCACACCATTATATTTTGGAATCGATTATAAGGCAAGCAAGTTTCCAAGGAAGGATTTGTTTACATTGCTTTTGCTGATGAATAGGACGGTACTAGGAAAAGGCTATGTCTCACAGAAAGCGGATTTTTGAAAAGCACAGAAAGTGGCTTTTTGCATCTTCTGTGTGCTTCAGACACAATTCCTCCGTGCAGTAGGAAAGTTACACAGTCCTGCTCCATGGGGGGGAAAAAAAAAAAAAAATCTGTGTGGATCTGCAGCAGGTAGATGGGTTAGATTAGGTGGTACGTGTAGCTGAATTATCTGCCAGAGAGAGCCCATGAGAGGACTCACCGTCTCTCTGGCTTTGAAATCCATTCAGTCACCTATCTTCACATGTCACCTCCAGACTAGCTGACATGCAGTGTATGAAATGTGTGCAGGGTACAAGTTTCACTTCAAAACTGCCACAAAGGAGGAGTTGGACCCACAGCAGCAGTAGTGAAAACTGTGTGTAGCCAGGTAGGGGAATGAGCTGTTGGCTCCACACTCTCATCCCAGTTACTTCCTCAAACCCGCGATCGCAAGCACAACTGTTGGAACTGGGAAAGCTGTAAAACCCGAGTCTAGATGAAGTGGAAGAATGAAAAAATAAAAAAAACCCCAACCTGTGCTAGTTGGATGCCATTCCTTTCTGCATGGTTCCTACACCGTTGCTTAAGCTGCAAAACAATGGGGAACAAAAATCTACTTACAGAGACATGGTGCTTCTCGCGGCGGCTTTCCCTCCTCCGCTGACATTCCTGTGCCGCCAGCCCTCCGCCTTTCCCTAGATAAACCCCCGCCGCCTCGGTCCGGCCATGCCCCAGCGGTTGGAAACCGGAGCTCAAGGCAGTATTTAAGGGGATGTCAGACCCCGCCTCTGCCCTGGCCGGGCACCCACCGCCGGCAGGTCCTGCCCCAGCTGCTGCGGCCGCTCCCGCCGCTGCTCCCGGCCCCTCTCGCCTTGGCAGAAGGAGAGAAGGTGCTGTGTGTATACATATATGTATACCGGGAAAGAAAGGGGCATCAGTTTTAAATCCAAACAAGCTGCCGGGTCTGGTTTTAGGAACGCTGCCTGGAATTTTGCTGCTGAGCTCTTGAGCCAGTTGGAAGTAAATTAATAGCATCAGCTAGTGGCACTGGTGACGGATTTGTAAGACAGAGAGCATGACTAATAGGGAACATGTGGAAAACACATTTTGGCAAAACCTCCTTGGTTGCTGGGGGAAAAAAAAATAGTAAAAAAAGGAGGCAAAGCTTACTAGTGAGAAGGGCTTTGCTGCACCCTCAGGCAAGGCTCTCTCTGGGAGAAGTGGTGCACCGTTCTCCAAGCTGGTGCATGGGAGCAGAGAGCAGATGAAGGACAGGGAAGGTGTTCTGAGCACACACAGAGACTTTTTGGCTTCTTTGCAGAGGGGAGGAGAACTTACTAAGAAGTATGGGAATGTACATGAAGCCTAAGGTAAGTGGAGCAGAAATTCTCCATCTACATAGTGCAAGGATCCCCTTCTCATCCCTGCTCCGCTTCTGGGGGGCCCTGTCATTGCCACCCCGGTGGGATCAGGGCTCCAAGGAGATGCTGAGATGGAAATGGAGAGTTAAGGCAGAAAGCCTCCCCAAGGGCCAGCGAGGAGGAGAAGGAAGGAAGCGACAGCAGCAGCCAAGAAGTCACAAAAAGGATCAGGCCCAGTCTTTGAAGGGAGAAAGCAGAGGAAGGTCAAGGGGGATGTTTGAAACAATTTGGTTCATCAGGAATTTTCATCTGTGGTCCGGACAAAGCAGGATATTCATTCTGCTGTCAGACCTCTAGTTTCCCAAAGAGCCTGAAAGGACACGGAGGGGCAATTCCTGCTTGCTGGAGCATCTCGC